AGAGGTGGACTGTTGTGGTCACGGTTGCATACTGCCAAGATGCCTTTTCATTGTAGAGCTTGTTCTGCTGCTTTTGTGCTATATTTCTTCTGCGATGGAGGACCTCTCTCAGGTGCTGGCAGCAAACCAGCACCTTTCACCAGTATCATGTGCAGTGTACAAAATGGGAAGTCCGTTTACCTTGATTAGTTCTGCCCTTTACAGGAAAAGTGGAAGACAGATCTCAGACATCTCAACTGTCAAGGACTGCTGCTTCTCCTTTCAAAAATAAAGTAGTATGTGCTGAATAAAATATAAGCTTAAATATAAGTATGTTATAAAATAAAGGGGGATCAAGTATAAGCCTCTGAAGTAATAAAAGCTGCAGTATGCCTAAAAGTTGGATCGTCTTCTATGATAGGCCGCTGCGTCTACACATCCATTACCTTCTGAAAACATTTCTTCTTTGGAGCTTACCCTTTCCTGCCTCAATTCAACCTCAGTGCACTGGTGATGTCTGTGTTCTGTCTTTATTAGGAATGTAAAGAAAATCCATCTGTAGTTGTAGATGCATGGGAAAAAAAATGCATACTAAAATTTAAAACTTTACATTTCACCCCCCCAAATTTACATTCTTAAGTAGTCATACCTGTCTGGAAACAAGGAGAAGATTATGTTCCAAACACACTGTGGGGAGAGCAGTTACAAAGCTAGAAAAAACAATATGGCACACTGGGCGTGTCTACACATGCATTAACGCACCTTTGCTACTGTGCATTAAATTTAGTACCTCTAATATGAGGTGCTACATAAATGTGCAGTAGCCAGTGCTACTGCACAGTGGCAAAGGCACGCAGTCTTTTTGTGACAATGCACAATAGACTAATTCTGCGCATTAGCACATTAGCACGGCTTCTGCTGTGATGCGCTAACGTGCAGTAGAATTAGTCTACTGCGCATTATGCATCTTGTGTAGATGCGCCCACTTGTACTCTTTCTAGCTCCTTAGAATAGCAGAGTAATGTAGCTACCAAAGCAGTGAGTTTAACATGGGAAAGCAAGCAGTGGGACTCATTCTTAACTAAGTCAGTGGGAGGAATATTAAAATATGCAGTGAATTGGAGAGGACATGTTGTGGTTACTCTGTGAAGGATGTCTGCTTCTATTGCATAAAATCTTGTTTTGTATTCTAAGAAATGTTCTTTAAAATTTAGAATGAGTTCATGGCAAGAATGATAAAATGGTCTGAATCTGTGAATTCAAGTACTGAAGATGATGCAGAAGTAGGAATATTCTTTCTGACAGAAAGTGGTGTGTCATGTAGCTTTTTCTCCTAAGAAATATTGGCTTCGGCTGGACGTTAATCTTCTGACTGAAATTTATGGAAAAATTAGATGTTTCTCAGTAAAAATTCATAAGGGAAGCAAGCATTAGATCCTTTTATCTAGCTAAGAGAAAGGAATTATGACAACCTATGGAGGTAGCAAAGTCTTATTTGCAGTAGATTGGAAGAACATGGCAGGTTTCTTTAAGGAACAGATTTCCTGATGTTGTGACAATAGCCCTAAACTAAATGAAACATGAGTTTTAAATTATCCCCGGCATCTTGTTCTCTTTCAGGTGCTTGTCCATGCACATGTTCTGCCATGGGTGCACACGTACCTCAAGTCCTTGAGCTTGGAAATAATTTTGCCATGGCGCACACATGCTCTGCATCTCCTCTGTTCTGTGCCAAGGCATAATGCATCCCCTTCTCAATCCCATGGCTCATGGTGGAGCTTCTGCAGTGATCCAGGCTGTGTTTTTAGGCTGAAAGGTGCTCTCAGAAGTCTTTTTGCAAGACCAGACACTCCCCTGGTCTTAGCCATGGGGCTTCTCTTGTAGGGCAAGGCTCCATGTTTCCCTTCACTTCAATCAGACTCCCTCCCTCTACCCTCTACTAATGCGACTTCCCCCATGCTGCCTGGTTTAAAGCTATGTCCGTCTTGCATTGTGAAGAGAGACCTGAGCTAGCTCTGCATATGTAGCTATACTAATGCAGTGCTCCCCCACGGCTGTGCTGAGAAGTAGGGCTTATTAGCCCTAACAGAGAGAGCATCATGCCAGTTCACCTGTAGCACTCCCATTTCTGGAGCTGCTATGTGCCGAGCTAGCTTGCGGGGGTCACACATGGCACTGCCTTGCACCTTGAAACTCCAGCCCATGATTTAGGATATTCTCAGCTACCTTGTGATATCTCTGTGCGGCACTACACTGTGGTTGGCGAGTATTTAAATGCCTCTATTATTCAAGGGAGTGTCGACCTCCAGGGAAGTGCTTTGTTTGTAAGTAGTTCACTTCCCTGGGGAAAAAAAAAAGAGGAGCATGAGGCTGGATTTCAGGTTTACTGCCCTGAGCGATGGGGTCAGCCCCCACTCCAAAGCCTAGGACTTAGCTGTGCTTGACTCTCCAGTGGTGGGGGGCTCCCTCTAGAGAAGTAGTCCTCCAGTCTCTTCATCTAAGACTCTAAGACATACCTCCAGGTAGAGCGGACTCTGCTTTGGTACCCTCCCCACTGGACTATCCATATAGATGAGCACTCAAAGGAAAGAGATGGTGCTTACCAGTATTTCCATCCATTGCCCTTTCTGAAAGTACTTCTAGGCAAAACGCTCTTCATTTATGATGGACTAATGTTCCTCTGTAAAATCCTGAGAAGCAACAGCCTTATTTAAATACTTGCATACCTCTAATTGAGAACTTGTGGAGAGCTGGATGTGTCGGTTGGATCTTAGATCACCAAGCGTGTCTAGCGCTACAGAGAATATAATGGCGGTGTTGAAACTTTTCAATGTGATTTATATTTCTTTTACATGTTGTCTTGCTTTCCCTTTGTCTTTCACATCGACACTCTAAGAGGCAGGGGCTGTGCTACCGAAAACAAATAACAGTTGCTTTTTCATTAAAGTCAGCTTACAGGATCTCTGCAATTCAACTTGTATCTTTTTTCTTTTAATAGCTTGCACAGACAAGGAGCTAAGGAATCTTGCTTCCCGGCTAAAGGACTGGTTCGGAGCACTTCACGAGGATGCCAACCGCGTCATCAAGCCAACAAGCTCGGAGACGGCGCAAGGCAGTAAGAAAACACTTTCTAAAGTTCTGGGCAACCTTGCACGGTCTGTCACCATTCACAGGGCAGAGCAGTTGTTGCAATCGCTAGTCTTGACCTATAGTGTCAAGGACCCAGAAGCAAGCAGACTAACATCTAAACAAGCACTAAGAAGCAAGTGCGGTAACATCATATAAAGGGCCTTGTCTTGAGAGATGCTGAACATCTGCAGCTCCTGTTGATCTCGAAACGAGTTACAATTGGTCACTGTACTCTCAGCCTATATGGTTTTAAAAGCAGACATCATGAGACCCAGATGTACACAATTTGGTTTAGTTGGTCAGTCAGTCTGCTGTTAAGTCCACAGACTGTTCAGGTACTAGTCAAGCACATGACAACACTTTTTCTTCACATTGTCTGATCAGAGCCAAGATGCAGTATATAAGCAATAAGGATTTAGGTAAAATACAACATAAAGGAAGTTATACCAGGGCTTTAAAATTGCTTAGGCTTCATTTTGCTATACCCAGTTAGGCCTACCTCACAGAAATGACAATGGGGTGGAAGCATCTAAAGGATAAGCATGGGGCTGGAGAGATTAGCTGATGGAAGGCAGGAAAATCTGAATATTGCATGTGTTGGGAAACGATGTTAACAGACATGGCTCAGGTCCTTAGTCCACCTTCTTCGCATCTGCTCCTTTTAAAGAAACGAAGCAAAATGAATAATTGCAAGGATGTTTATTCCCTATGGGCAAAACCAACATGACTGATTTTGATGTGCTTTACCCACCAGGGAGGGAAAGACTCTCGCAGTGGTTAGCAAAGGAGGTCATGCTCATTAAACAGCTGAAATGAGCTTGTCTTCTCTTAGGTCTGTCATGGTGAGGATAAATGTTATGAGCAAAAAAGGTATAAAATCCTAATGGTTTTTGGATTGCAGGCATGGGTTAAGAAACTCTGCTTACTCCAATCCCTCCACCCACCAAGAATGGGTGGTGAGAAAGGGCAAAGAGAGTGCCAGTTCACTGCTGAGTCCTCTCACCACCCTATCTCATGCTGGCATCAAGAGTTGCACACCAGTCTGCTGCCTCTTACTCTGGAGAGCCAATCTAGGCTGCAGCAGAGTGCTCCAAACTGCAAACAGAGTTTGTATAATGCAGAATAATTATATCAAATTTGTGCGATACAAGCCAAATGCACAAATAAGCTCTCTTGATAACTCCCATGTCCATACATTTCCATACATTTCCAGCTTATTTACAGTTACACATAAATGGCCATGCATGTAGCTTTAAAACACTGTGAGCTTCTTATTTCTTAAAGAGCACGGCAAAGTAATGAATTTATTATGGAAATGTAGCCAAACAGTTGTGTAGAGAGGCAGTTTGGAACGAATCTTGTAATGGCTTGAGGAAATGAATTCACATCAGGTCCAAGGGTATTTTTCCCCCTTTTAAAGAGCCAAGGACATAAGCTTTCTCCTGAAGCCCTTAGGGCCCAGAACTAGACCGAGGCTCTAAATCTTGCTTTATTAAGATACTTAACGACACTCTCTGCATAGATGACTTTAGAGCTCTGCATAAAGAGGTGCCAAGGGCTAAAGACCAAACTGGTTCCTCAAGATGCTTAAGTTTGGACTCCTCAAAGCAATTTCAGTAGGGAAAACTCTTGTCATCTTGTTTTCATTTAGTTTGCTTCCACAGAGCTTGTATGTCGGAGGTTGCCTTGATGATCTCATGGTTCAAATGAACAGCCATTCATTGGTACACTAATGACCTACAAATTTGGCATATTTTCCAGATATTGTTCCTTATATTATTTTCTTGTTTTTATTACACAAACTGCTTAAGAACTGGCACAGCTAAACCTTTAGGGCAAGCCACAAAAAGTGAGCCTTTTCTATTTATCTGCAAGTTAATCCTTATACAGGCCAAATTCTACACCACTGATTTTCCCTGATTGCACTGAAAATACACATAAGGCAAATCTACATGTTGCCCTGCGGTGCTGTTGTTACAGCACTGTTTTTAGTAGTTCCTTTTGGAACCTGTACTGCACCGTGCATGTGGCACATGGTTAGTTTTCACCACAGCGGGAGCAGTAAAATGGGGGAGCACGCCGCTACAGCAAAGTAGGTGTCAATCACGGGCTCATGTGATCACTACATTGCCACAGCATGTCATACAGTGATGTAGCACACCTCTACAGCGACATAGGGTGATGTTCAGGCATGCCCATAGAGTAAAGGCATCTGGATTTTGCCTCGTCTAATGTCAACTTAAAGCATTTCTAAGAATAGAGAGAATCTAAAATGGTGCTCAACATTCAAAGCAAAATTCAGGGGGTCTACATACTCCCCACAGACTAAAATGGAAGCAAGTCTTGATCTGAATTCATGCCAACATGTGAAGCACTGGAAACCCTGCACTACCTTCCTGATGTATGCACAATCCATTTTATTACCCTGTTTATGGTCCTCCCCCTTCCGCAGCCTGATCACTGCGCTAAATTGAACCAGTTTGGTTATGCCCATGGAGCTTTAAAAGGCATGTGTATCTTCAAAGTAATCCATTTGGGTATGCCCCCGTGGCAGCAGAAGGAACAGATGGTGGGAAGAGATGACTAAGATGCCTTGGACACATCAGCTGTCTAGAAAAGGTGCTTCCAGCGGAGATTTCTCTGTGCTACATTAAATTTTCAAGATGCTACTGTGAGGGTGAATAAGCTCTTTGAATGCATTAAGATCACCCTCGGGTGAAGCGGGCTGGGGAGGAAACATTCACTCCTATTTTTTTTTCTTTCGTGAAAGGAAAAGAGGTGGGTAACCGTAGTGTTTCAAAAAATAGGCCTTCATTCAAGGTAATATCTGCCTTTGGGCATGTCTACACATCACCATATGGCAACATTGCTATGGCGCTGTGCTTTAGTACTTCCTTTTGGACAGTAAGTGCCCCTACTGCACTGTGCACATGGCGTATGGTTAGATTTCACTGCTACATTGTCGTAGCCGCACATTACAATGGGGGAGCGCGCTGCTAGGGCAACGTAGCTGCCAATGACATGTAGACCCACGTGATCACCATGTCACCGTAGCATGGTGTATGTGTAGACGCACCCCTTGTGACTTAAACTAAACCCTTTGTGTTAGGGAGTGCTTCTTTGTACAGCTGACATCACCTCCATAAATAATATTAATGTGAGCACCTTGCAGACATGCACTGAAATAAGAAAATAATAAAACTAATTAGACACTAGGATCAGATGCAAATTGTCCGTGGGGCTGTTGCTAATTTGAAAAGTTCCTGTGTTCCAGATACCCACTCAGCTGGTCTGTTGGTAGGAATGGGAGTTGTTCTTCCTTTACAGTCAGCAAAGCTTGATGCAATAGAAAAAAGCCTAGCTGAGGAATTTTACTTTTCTTCCTTTTTTTTTTTTTTTTTAATGATAATGGAAACTTGGTTAATTATTCCCTGTGTTAATTTAATTGTAGTATAGTTTAATAAAGTACACTTGGCTCAGATAAGTCACTTCTTGGAGGAAGAAAAGCAATTTATGTGCCAGAAGGTGTATTTATTTTTAATTAGGAATTTCACTTAAAGGATTTTTTTTTATTATTATTATTCTGAGGAGACGGCTTGCTTTAGGTATTAACGGAATATGGAGCCTTTCACATGGAGGTCGCCTGTTTGAATCCCTTCCAGGTTTGCAGTGAATGAAAGTTGTTAGTTCTTCGAACAGCTGTCAGATGGAGTGTAAAATGTAATGGTCTCAATCCAGCTCCTAGTGAACAGGTGCCCATATCAGAAGAGCCACTGCCACAATTGACACTAATTGGCATCCTTCTTGGCAGTATGTGCAGAAGAGCCAAGAACTGAATGAATATGAAGTTGGTGCTATTCTCTCCACCCTGCGTAGCGACCATTGCAGGTCAGGGTTGAGACACAGGTAGGAGGGCATGAAAAAAAATTCACATAGCTGCTTCTGCCTGTTGTAGGGATTCACAACCAGGACGCCACGAGGTGCTCTGAGATCCTTTCAAGGGTGCCCTGAGTACACAGTGTTAGCACGGTTGGGTGTGCAAGCATGGTTCACAGGATAAACCCACAGATTTCAAATCGGCATCCATAATATGACAAACATTCTGCCCTGTTGCGGTCTTGCCAAGTTCTTTGCAACTGAAAAATTGCTCTAGTGTTTTTCTGTAGTCAAAAAAGCAACTGAAAACTGAGCACTGGCATTTTCTGAGGGGTGCTTTGAAGCTAAAGAGGGTTACCCGGCGATTCAAAGGTCAAGAACCGCCAATCTATTGTGTTGGTCTCCAGAGCTGTGAGTCTAGACTACTGGTTTTCAGCATTTTTTTCATTTGCGGACCCCTTTGGAAATTTTGAATGCAGGTGCGGACCCCTTTGAATTGTAAGTGTGGGTATTCACATACTTTTGATTGATTGTAGTCATCTTTCATGGACCCCTTTGACATCCACAGACCACTGAAAACCAACTGGTCTAGAGCATTAAATGAAAACTAGAGTCACTACAGAAAGCCAATAAACCATCTGTCTGGCACAATACATCTTTATAAGCAAATTTACCCTAAGACCGTAAGCTGCCTAATCTTACACCGGGGGAAGTGAAAATGGATTATGGAGCCCAAAGGGTTGTAGGCCCAAGCAGTGACTGCTGGGTAAAAGCAATGGAGTACTGTGAACATTTCCTGCAAGGATGTTGAAGGCATCCCCGCAGTGGGGTGGTGGATCTGCCTCACTAGATGCGAGTCTTGCATTGTGAACCCCACGTACTTTACTCAGAGTCCACTTGAATTCCTGCAAGTGCCCCTTGCGAGGAACGGGTTTGGGTTTCAGCCTCTTTGGTTTTGACTGCAGCTACAAAATTAGCACACACAAAAAAAAAAAAAAGTGATATATTGGAAGTAACTTTTATCAAGAGGCAATTTGAAGTGAGATTGAAACTGCTGTTGCATCTCACTTTCACCCACATGCTGAAAGGCCATTGTGGTATTAACCTTTTCACTAGTAATAGCCATCTATCCAAGGGTTTTCCAAAGCATCTATCACTCTAATATCTAAACGCTTACATATCCCACTCTCTCACTTATAAACTGCAGTGTTTATTAGAGGAGACCCCATAAGAAATGTTAACTTGTAAAGCCTGGGAGAGCACCCTTGTTTATTTAAAATTCCAACAGAAGAGTGTTTCTTAAACTAATATAATTAACTTTCTTCATAAGTGACCTTCCATAATTGCATCTCTGATGTGTCACAAAGCAGCTTCTTATCCGTATTAGTCATTATCTTACAATCTGCTCATTCAGCTTAGCATGGTCACCCATGTGCTGTTGCTGCTGCTGTGTCCCTGAGCACACGTTACACGGAAAGATAAAGGCCATACAAGAGGGAGGAGAGCAAAGTCATAGAAATAATACACGAATATCATCAGGGAACAAGTGAAGGAGTAAGAGATGCTGGCATCTGGTCCTGCCATGCCATTGGCTTTGTCCCCAGCTAAGGGCAAGCTCTCACTTACACACATGGAGGGTGGGCCCTGGTAGAAAGCAGCTGGATAGACTGGTGAACAGTCTGGACAAGGTATGAAGCACACCTTGCAAATGCTTCCCTGAGCAGTAGGAACACCCCAACATGGCACTTAACCCCCTGCTCTGCCCTCCCCCTCCATCCAGAGCAGGAAGGGGTAGTCAAATAAAAGCCCAGCAGCTGTGTCCCCTCTGCCCACCACAACCCTACTGGCCTTGCTGAGGAGGTCAAGCCGTGGCTCCAAACACATACTTTGGGTTCTAGTTCCACCAGTGGCAGAACAGGTGCACCTTACACACATACCTGCTGCAAATTATATGGAGTAGGAGGATTGCTTACACCAGCACCTCTTCTATCCCAGTGGTTCGGGTGCTTGCCCAAGGAGAAGAAGAGCTATGGTCTAGGCCTGCTGGCCTTGCTGAGGAGGTCAAGCCGTGGCTCCAAACACATACTTTGGGTTCTAGTTCCACCAGTGGCAGAACAGGTGCACCTTACACACATACCTGCTGCAAATTATATGGAGTAGGAGGATTGCTTACACCAGCACCTCTTCTATCCCAGTGGTTCGGGTGCTTGCCCAAGGAGAAGAAGAGCTATGGTCTAGGCCTGCCCCCCCC